ATCCACACACACTTGTACTGGATGTTGAGGTCACAGATCAGTCCATACCTCACATATTCCAATGAAATTCCAGAAGGAGGCATAGTGCAGGGAAGTGTTGCCATGTTCATTGGCACAGTCCACATCTGCACGCATCTTCAGCAACTAGAGTTCACAATATCGTGAGAGAAGGAAGGGAGAGAAGGAAGGGGGAGGACAGGGAGAGAGGAAGGGAGGGAGGGAGGAAGGTAGGGAGGAAGGGAGGAAGGGAGGAGAAAGTGGGGAGGGGAAGGTAGAGGTAAAGAGAGGCTGAAACTCCCTTTGTCAGAAAGTCTTAGGTGCCTTCTGAAATATATACTATTGGTATATACACGGGTATACATACAGTTTGGAAAAGATTTGTATGAGTCATATTCTTTGTATAAATTTTGCCATCAAATAAGGTTATGAACATCACTGATGTTATATGGCTCATTCACTACTGCCACTTGGCCGCCTCTCACAGCCTTACTATGTTAGGAACACAACACACAAACATTCAAGTGGCTAATTTGCTCTCCTCACAGATATTTAGCACGCTACTACATATTTATCAGAATGGGCGTTATCCTACACATGTCACAAACTCCCAAACATCTATCACTGTAATGATCAACAACCCTCGGTGCCAAAACTTAATGTCAAAAAATCAAGCATACACAAAACCAAACTTCGTTACAGTTGCCTTATATGTGATGTGTTTACCTTCTGGACGATGTCATATTTGCCGTAGGCAGCGCAATGTGCAGCAGCGTGTCTCCACCCATGTTGACGATGTCAACTCGAGCCCCGCGATTGACAAACACGTCAATTATACCAGTATTGCCGTGCATGGTGGCATAGTGCATGGGAGTGAACCCATGTTGGTCTCTGCAGTGGAAATCAACACTGACATTAGCTCAAAGTGAGGGTTCAGGCTGTATATACCTAATGTACAAGGGGCAAGGTTTCTCTCTACTCAAATTTACCAACTCTTCTGCCAGATGTTTACCATAAAATTACAGCATACTTCTAGGCCTAATGATTTTTTTGCCTCCACACAATTGATAGCCTGTATCTAGACTTGCATTTTAACGTGTAGACACTTCCGGCTATGTCTACTTATGCACCTCCACCGAAATAGTGTTTTTGTTTTTTTATCCTGGGTGTATGTGTGTAAGCACTTGCCAGAGGGTTAACTTGTGAACCACGCCTCAGTTTTGAGGCAACATGTATGTTATGTGACGTGGCCAGTGGCACAGATAATCCCACCTGGATCCCTGCCACGTCTCTAGATTAGGACAAACCTCAGACCCCATCCACATCAATACATGGATACGTGACCAGCATGCATTTTACCGCTCTCCTACGTCCATGTATATTTAGTGAGCTAATGTAACTATGGCCATTATGTAGCTGGCTTTTCATACACGTAGGTTACACAAAACACACGCTAGCACACAGTGCTGTGTATTTACGTGATGTTGAGGTCGTGGTCTGGACTCATGCACCATTCCTTGCAGAACATCTCGTCTCCATCTCGACAGGCAGCATATATGTCTTCGCTGGTGGCCTCAGGTCTCAGACCTAACAAGATGAGAAAGAAAGTGTAGACACATCGTAACAAAGGTTCACCCCATTTTCCGAGATTGTCACTGCACTTGAAGGAGCAGTGCAGTGTGTATAGCTACATACTTGACCCTTCTACACAACTCCGTGCACTCTATTGTTAACCACGTGTTCAGTCAGCTGGATCCCACTGTTCTATGTACGTGGCTCTAGCTCTACGCACATACGTGTGGAAGAGGTAAGCGCCTCTGTGCCAAAGCGACGGGCTAGGTCCATGTCTCTCTACGAGAACTAACGCACGACCAATCATCTCCCCGTAGATATACACACAAGCCACGGTAGCTAGCTAATGAGTGTGCAAAATGGATTACTGTCACCGTTGTTTACACAATCTTCCCCATTGCCTAAGTAGCTACTCAATACAGTTCATTCACTGGAGTGTAAACACTCGGTAACTCACGGCTGACAAACTTGAAGTCTTCTTCAAAATGGCGAGCCATTGATCAGGTAGCTTTTAGAGGAGAACAGAAAACAGCAGAAAGACACCCGTGTCTTCCGGAAACCATAGCAGTAAGAATTTACGGTAACCGGATATTAGGCCTGCGCGTTATTTGGAGAAAAGTTGCATTGGCCATGCTGAGCCTCTATGCATCGCTGAGTCAGACTGTGGCTCCCTCACTGTATAGGCAAAGACACTGTGTGACTATGAACAAGTTTCTCAGGTAAGATGACGCATCGATACTGAAAACTCTCACGCACATTAGCTGTTCTGGGCGGTATGCCTCTGGTTGCTACACACCTAGCGTCAGTTTAGCGTCCACTAGCGTCCCGATCTGTGTACCGTCTGTTGCAGATAGTGTTCAGAGACGCCATGTTTGCTGGCTTCGCTCTGATGCGTTTCAGTCGGTGGAGAGCTTCACCCTCACTACTTCGACCTCTCCTACATTCCTCCGACTCCGCCACGCCTTGCCTACGAGGCTCCATAGTGTCCCCGAGTCCTACGGCTCTGCTAGAACATCGGGAATATCGGCAGGTTCCACCAGAGCTGTGTTCCAGTCCAGCAAAGTTTCCCTGCTGAGGTTATTTCCACGAAACTGGAAGAGATGGACCACTGCTGGGACGCTGTCTGCAGGCGTGCTAGGAGGAATTGCTCTTGCTAGAACCACCCCCTCTTCCTCCCTGTGCAAGACTCTGGCACAAGATGATACTGGGTATCAAGTCCACGTGGCCGACCAGTCCACCTACTGCAATGCCACCTTCAGCCAGTTTACTCTGAGAGAGAAAATCTACGTGATCCTTCGCTCCATCTACCTCACCTGCCTCTTCAGTCCAGCTCTGGTCATGTACGGCGTGAGTCGACTCCTCCGTTCGGCACGGATCGAGAGAATGGCCTGGACTTACACCATGAGAGCTGTACAGACGGCCGGTCCGGCCTTCATGAAACTGGGCCAGTGGGCGAGCACTCGCCGAGATCTCTTCTCCGAGGAGTTCTGCAACTCTCTGTCGCAGCTGCACACCGCCTGCCGGGCCCACAGATGGCAGGACACACTCCAGACCATGGAGGAAGAGTTTGGGGAAGATTGGAGAGAGGTTCTGGAGATCTCCAGCGGCGAGCCGATTGGCTCGGGTGTGTGTGGCTCAGGTCTACAAGGGAACCCTCAAAACAAGACTGACAGCTCCATCTATTGCGAGGCAGACGAGAGAGTTAGGAGAAGGTGCGCGTGAAGACGTAAGAGTTGTTTGTTTCTCGACTCATGAAACTCCTGGTGGCCAGTCAGAGAAGGCGCGAAAGGAGGTGAAGGAGCGAGGAGAGAGAGAGAAAGCGACGGCCAGTGGCAATCAAAGTGCTGCACCCTGGCACGGTGCAGCAATGGAGAGAGACATGTACTAATCGACTGAGCTACGCCGGCCTACTGGATGGACTGCTCACCCTGACGTCCACTGGGCTGGCCTCAAGGAGCTGCATTCAGCGCAGTGTACTCCATCGCTCATGAGGAAACAGCGTGCACTGTTAGTCATAGCTGAGTCCAGAGGCACGCATGCTTATCACTTCAGCTATGGCCATACCAAGTAGTTCCATTACAGTATCTTTATTCATAGTACAGCTGCATCACAGAATAGTTTTATGCATGTGTCACACACGTGATGTACACATGTGTCAATGTACTTGTGGTCTATATATATTAGCTCTGACATGGAGCTCGAGGCGTACAACCTGCGAAGGTTCACAGCAGTAGTCATGGGAGACTATGAGAACATCAAATCACCACTCCCCTCTTCCCTACGTCACAAGAGCAGCTCCTGGTGGAGACCTTTGAGTAGGGAAAGCCGTTTGAGAGGGAATTTTGACCTCTTTTCTTGCCTACTCCCATAGCCTCGCTAGTCACATCTCTAGATACGATGGGACAACCGTGAGCGACAGCTGCAGAAGAACCTGCCCGAGGATTGCACCGAGGCCCTCCTTGACATGAGGTACAGAACACAGCAGCATGTATATGACCATGTGTGTAGTGTGAGCTCGGAACTCCGTACTTACTGTATATGAAACTCACCATCTGCCAGTGAGTGAAGAGTGAGCTTGCCATATTATAGTATAGCCAGCAGAGTGGTAGAGTTGTGCAGTATGTTACTGAGCGGTGGCACTTAGCATTTACGAAAACATCCCCTGGTCCTAGTGTTTATATGGGTGGTGACTGACACATTCATGCCCACTCTACGTTTACGTGCCACCCACGTCGACAACTACTCCCGCTGCTAGGGTTTGTGTAGGTAGTGAGGAGTGACACAGGCGTTTGGGGCGTCGACAAGCTACCAGAATAGGACCCAACACGAAAGAAACATTGCGTAGTACACCGTATTATGCGACGCAAAATGTATAAATGGTGCCTCTCTGCAGCATCTCGTCGGGGTCTGGGGATGTGTTTGTTGACAGTGGGGCAGCCACAACTTTGTCCATGGAGACCTCCAGCCTGGCAATAGCCTGTGTCCAGGACACACACCAGCCTCGCCTGGTCCTCCTGGACTGTGGTAAATCGCCACAGTCCTCACTCCCCTGACCTCCTCCAGATGAGGCTCTCTTCACCTCCTCCGTCAAGGGAGATTGATGAGGCAGCATTTTATGTGTATGTGACAGTACATTGGCTAAGTTTTACGGAACATACTTGGCATTCAGTTGGTTGTTTAGTCCTTGAAAAAGGATTGTGACGTATGTTGGCTAATTTAGTTCAAAAAGATATCTTCATTCTTGCACTGGGTCCTTTCCTTATGTATATACTGCCTATTCCCCTTTTAGTTCACTCTCATGTCGGCCAAACACTTAGACACCCCCAAAACCAGGACGCCTTTCTTGTAAGACACCTTTTCTTCCCTCCCACAAGAACAGTTCCTTGCAGCATGTAACCTCCCTCAATCATATGTTGTGTGACATGGCGTACAGTGGCAGACCTGATGCTGGGCTTCCCAGCCCTGCCCCACAGTGGAGGAGTACCGCAGGAACATGGCTGAACTGGTCTCAAAAAGGGGTCTCGACGCGGACTCCAGGGACGCACGCGCATTCAGATGTTGCATCAAGATCACGCTCACTGGCAAATAAGACAGTGAAACTCTGAATGTAAAGGACACCTCTCTATAAGGGACGCTTGCTCTGCCCCATACTACTACTGAGTGTCTATAGCAACTCCGAATGAAGGATGTCTCTGAATGAAGGACACTCTCATAAGGGACACTTGGTTCTGATCCATACACTACATTAGTGTATTAGTAGTAACTCCGAATGAAGGATGTCTCTGAATGAAGGACACCTCTCTATAAGGGACACTTGGTTCTGACCCATACTAATACATTACTGTATTATAGTACCTCCGAATGAAGGATGTCTCTGAATGAAGGACACCTCTCTATAAGGGACACTTGGTTCTGACCCATACTAATACATTACTGTATATAGTACCTCCGAATGAAGGATGTCTCTGAATATGACACTTCAATGTCTCCAAGGTGTCCCTTACTGAGAGGTTCTCTGTATTACATTGATGACTGTAGCTACCTACATTTGGTGGTGTCTCACATATCTGCCTTTTTGACAGGTGAAGGTGTCTAACCTATTCTCCGAGCTATTTGATGTGCTCATGAAACACAAGGTATGTTACTCCCTATTAATGCCCCCCACCAGGGTAGGACATACAGTGGTACCTCTGAGCAAGGGGCACTATGGGACCGACAATTTTGTCCCTTGTGGAGAGGATGTCCCTATCATCAAATAATACACTAAGTATCAGCATGGGGTTGAAACTAGTGTCCTTTGTAGAGTATCTCAGAGTGTCCCTTATCAGGTGTCTCACTGTATCCATGGCCAGGTTCGAATAGAGCCCAACTACACGTCAGTGGTGATGGCCATCATGGTGATAGATGGACTGGGGAGGTCCCTGGACCCCAGTCTCAATCTCCTGGAGGCTGTCACTCCCTGCCTGCTCCACAGAGCCAGGACACAACTCACTGACTACATTGTAGGCTCTTGACACCTAGAGCAACTTCTGCTGTTTGTGTCTCGTGCGTGTTTTCTATGGTTTGTACTATAATGACATAACACCTACAAATGCATGTGTGCTACAGCTAAGCAAGGAGGTTAATTGATATAGGACGATGCAGAGATTGTGTTGAATCACAAGTAACATCTGCTGTTTGCTGATATTATTTTAAAGTCTATGTTTACTGTTACCCCTGGTTGTTCGCACCTCGGACAGATATATATTGAGGACGACTCAAAATGAATTATTCTCGATTCGCACCCAAGTGCATCTAAGTAGCTGGGCAGTGTTAATTGAGTTAAATGAAAGCACTAAAAGTGCAACCCTTGGCGAAGTAGCTCGCAGAGAGTCTGACACGGGCTAGCTACAGTAGTAGATAGCACGCGAGAGTCGATACACGCCATTCGTTGTGACTTCTTGTGCCTTCAGACAGGCAGAGCAAGCGACCCGTCAGGTAAGCCTGTGCTAAATATAAGCGCATGCGCATTATCCGCCAGCGATAAAATGGCGACTACCGGCATTAGCCATACAATGCTGGAAGCGCTCTAGCTCTGTAACGGAGAGAGAAAACCCCACATATTTTCTGACCTTCGTCGCCCGTTTGGTAGATGGTATCGTTTCTGGGACGAACAGACATTCCAGAGGTGAGATGTAGAGTAACAGACAGACAACACACAGACAAACCCAATGAAAAGCACTAAAGTGCAAACCCTCGGCACCGCTAATTGGTGGGCTGGGCTGCTATTAGTATGTAGTATACTCGTGGTCTTCCGCTAGTAGCGTCTGACACGGGCTAGTTACAGTAGTAGATAGCATGTGGGAGTCGATACACGCCCTTCGTTGTGACTTTTCGTGCCTTCAAGATACACAGAGCAAGCGGACCCGAGCCTGTTCAAAATATAAGCGCATGCGCATTTTCCGCAGCGATAAAAATGGCCGACTAGCATTAGCCGTACAATGGCGGAAGCGCTCTAGCTCTGCAACGGAGCATTTTCAGAGAAAACCGTTCGAAATTTCTGACCTTCATTGCCCGTTAGATAGGTTGTATCCTTTGTGAGACGAACAGACACTCCAGAAGTGAGATTGAGAGTAACAGACAGACACAGACAAACCCAACTATAGTACCCTCGCTGCGCATGCGCGCCGAAGGTAATGAAAAGCACTAAAGTGCAAACCCTCGGCGAAGTAGCTCGCAGAGAGTCTGACACGGGCCAGCTACAGTAGTAGATAGCACGCGAGAGTCGATACACGCCATTCGTTGTGACTTCTTGTGCCTTCAAGATAGAAGGAGCAAGCGGACCCGGTCCTTTGCTAAATATAAGCGCATGCGCATTATCCGCCAGCGATTATTAAAATGGCGACACCGGCATTAGCCATACAATGTGGAAGCGCTCTAGCTTTGCAACGGAGCATTTTCAGAGAAAACCGTTCGAAATTTCTGACCTTCATTGCCCGTTAAGTAGGTCATATCGTTTGCGAGACGAACAGACATTCTAGAAGTGAGATGAGAGTAACAGACAGACAGACAACCCAACTACAGTACCCTCGCTGCGCATGCGCGCCGAGGGTTCAACTACAATGTTATGCACTTTCTGTTTTCGGTTAATGTTGCCAGTGGATCAGGTCCATACCGGTAGGTATAATCTGAAAAAACACATTCTCGAATAAGTATCCCTGAGATTCTTCACGTACTCATCGAGTTCAGATATCGCCAGACATTCCTTGAGACGGGGGTCTAGACCAGAGAATGACTGTAGAACTTCAGTGTCTGGAGCAGTGAATGAGGGAAGGGAGAATAATGTTTTCCCCTTCTCCTTCCTCCTGGAAAACAGCTTCTTGAAATCAATTTCTTTCTGTTCTATCTGCTCTTCCTGCTCTTCGTTGCTGGACCAGAACTGTCTGTCCCAGAAGAGTTGAGTCTGAGGCTGAGTCAGGTCTGATGATGAGAATGATCTCCTGAGATTAGGAGACATGCCACTACGGACAGCCCCCACATTGAACTGTTGAAGAGGCCCAAGTCCTGTCCACTGGTAGTATTCCCCATCCTCACCAGCAGAGAGAGGGAGGAATAATCCAGACTGGATCTTTATCTCTTCCAGAGTAGTGTTGTCCTTGAGAATGTTGTTTAGTTCTAGAAGGAAGTCAGTGCAGGTAGCCTTACCTGGCAGAGGACTCTTTCATGGACGAAAGATGCCTCTACCTAACCATGTATGGTATTGGCCTCTGCACGTCCTCCATATCACAAGATGTCTTATGTAGTGTTAAATCTGAGTGCACTACATATGTATGAGGATTCCATCATAGCCAGTCTGGTATCCGCCAGTCTCAATGTGGTAAGACTGGGACAGTGTAGTATGATACTATGGACACAGCCATGTTCTCACGAGATATGTTGGTAACCCCAGCGTAGTGATTTGCTTTGACTTCAGAGCTGATTCAATACAGAGTCAACAGGGGTCCAGGGCATCCGTTGAAGTGTGAAGATCAAGTAGTGTCATTTCTGTCAGTCTATGTTCCAACAGCCAACAAAAACCCTCAAGAGCTCGTCGGTGGAGGACTCATGTACTCCTACTGGCACGGATTAGTAATCCTCAAAGCTTTCAGTTCAGTGAGAGACTTCAGTGAAGGAAGCCACTCCCAAGATCTAAGGTCACTATTATCGATCTCAAGTGATTCAAAATTTGACGAGTGACTGTAGAAGATTGTGATCAATAGCATATTTCAAAACTGTGGATTTCAAGCAAAATGTATCTATGTCACTTTATTCAACCAATATATACATCTTTGAATGCTTTGCCACATAATCGCCCATTAACTGAAGAAACTTAATTGTAGGTTTGGTAGATTTGCGGTGGTCCTCAAGACCTTTACAAATGTTTCCAAAAGTGACACATCATCATCATTCTTGATAGATACAGCTAGGTCGAACTGGTCCTGGTGGATACACAGTATGATAGAGCATAGCAGTCATATGGTGTTTGATTTGATGAGCCAATATTAAATGAACTAGTGTAGATATGTCTCATGGTTTGGTTCTGAGCTTCATAGAGAGAATGCAACACTACCATTCTGCCACTTACAATGTCAAGACTGAGATTCATTTCCCAGTGGTTCCTGTCATTCTCTGACTGGCATCTCATGCCAGTGATACCAGCCAGGAATATGGCTGGCTCCACTAGTGACTGCCTTAGTGATTCTAGTGAAGATATGAGAGCTTTTTCCTCTCTGTTATCACCTTTGTATTCACAGTGGCACGTGGCTTCCATACTGAGAGATACACAAGCCAGCCTATGATAAGCCACCTGAAACTCAATGCTGTAGCTCTTAGCCAAGTGCCAAGCTGCCAGGTATTCCTGTAGGCTGAGATGGAGAAATGAGAATGTTTCCTCCACTCCTTTGCCTGCATACATTTCAGTGGACTCGTTCATAAAACCAAAATGAATTAATCCTTCAGGGATATCCTCCTTGAAAAATGTTACCTTCCTTAATTCAGACTTGCTTAGTTTTTTACTTGATCGACCTAATATCTGGTGGATATCCTCTTTCAATCCATGATAGCTATAAAAAGCGAACTTTGCCAAAGTTTTAAAGTCTTTCTTATCTTCTTCGTTGAGACCTTCTGGAAACATAGATGAGTACTCATAATTTTGTTCCTTCATTTCCATGTGTCTAACAAGAGAATGAGTGAGTGCCTTGTACAGCTGTGTTCTTGTTTTGGAATACAACGTGCGGCATACTCTGAGACTCGTAATAGACTTGTGCTATAATGGCACAGTTGAGTGGAATGTACATCATTGACTTTATGTGAGGGACATGAAACATGTACTTCAAGAAATTCACCTGAAGCTCTGGTTCCTTGAAAAAGACCTCAGTGATATACCTCACTCTCTCTTCCTCTGTGAACCCAATGATTTCTACATGTTTATCAACTCGAGGCTGGCAGATACTTTTGAGGATATGCTTGGCCACTGGTCTAGTAGTGAGAATGATGGTACATTCTGGCAAAAGCTGCCTACACAGAATGCTTTTTACGACAGAGTTCTCATGGAAACTGTGAGAGACTTCGTCAAACCCATCTAAAACCAGTAACAGATTGTGGCCATGCGATTTGTTAAGTGCTTCTGCAATATTTGTACTCAATTCGGGCTTGGGTGGAAACCTGAAGAGATCGGAAGGTTGTGTGGCATTTAAGACCCACTTTTCCCTCAACTTGAGCAGCACCACAGTGTGGTACTGTCTGAGGCTTTCTATCTCATCCCATCTCCTACATGCCTCCCAGGCAAAGGTACTCTTACCAATTCCTGGAGGACCTTCTACCAGAATGAACCTGACTGGCCTACCACTGTCTTCTGGAGTCAGCAAGTCTTCAATGTTGATAGGTGTCTTACTCTTAAGAATCTGGTCTACTCCTCCATGCAGTGTTTTCCTGGTAAACTCATCTCTTTGTTCAGGATTATAGGGTTGTCCCCTTCTAATCATGGCAAGATTAATGTAGGGAGCGTCTAGGGTGGGAAGGTACTTGTCTGCTTGAGCTAGGGCTCTAGCATTGTAACAAGATTGCAAGTACTGCTTATACTTCGTCAATATATCTGAATTTTGTACAGATAAACTTACAGCAGTGGATAATACCGTACCACTGTCACCTTTATTGAGGGAGGTGATAGGTAGTGTTTCTTTCTTAGCTGTGGTTGGAATCATCTCACTTTCATCTCCTGCATAAGAAAAAGGCGTATAAAGTAAGTGTGCAATGGGGGAAATTTCAAATTTTACCGCAAATTGGATTTCCTAGTGGCAAAGGTTTCTCAGAAGATGGTAGCTCCTTCCCGAGTATAGAGACCGATGTTCTCTCTGGACAAATATTTGCTGCAAAGATATTAGTGAATAAATTTAGGACACATGCATACAAAAAGGGTATTACCTGCTTCTCTATACATTTCTCTGCCAGTTTCTCGGAGTCCTTCATTGTGTATTAACACTCCAATGACAGTGAAGATCCTGTCAGGATGAGACTTTAATTTCTTGGCAAGTGCCCGAACTAAAGCTATGGCCTTCACTTGCTGTGACTCAGGAGATGTAATCATGTTCTCCATTGTTGAACGGGATAGCAGATGTTTTGCCTGCAGCTGAGCGGCTGTTTCAACTGGGTCTCTTATACCACAGCAGAGTTTGCCAAAAAAACATCTGAAGAGTTTTCTGAGATTTTTAGTCTCGGATTCAGATAGACTCCTTACTATATCACATTCTGGTGAGGAGTCATCAGTCCCAGAGGAGCTGGGAACACTCTCTTTTTCTTTTTCTCTCTTCTTTTTTCCGCAACCACTTTCACTAGGGGCATGTTTCTTTTTGTTCTCTTCTTGTGAAGTAGAGGGGGAGGAGCTACCTCTGGGCATGGGGCTCATGCTACTCTCCCTGTGCTTTCTCCTGCTCCTTTTCTTTGACTGGATTTCACGTTCCTCTTGGTCCTTGCCAGGATCTGATAGCTCTCTTTTCTTTGACTTTTTCTCCTGGTCCTTGCTGTAACAACCAGGATCTAATGACTCATTCTCCCCAAGTGAACCTGCTGGTGATACGCACCCTCTTTTTTCTTCTTTACCTTTTCCTGCTGTGCTTTCTTGTCTTTCTTTTCTATCTGCAATTATCGTCCTTTTCAATGATTTTCCGTTTTTCCCCTGAACTTCATCTTCACTAGTGGCAGCAAAGGACTCATCATCTGCTTCAGTTCCTTCCTCTTCATTTGAGTACACTTGTTCTGAGTCTCTGTCTTCTTCGCCCTCACTCCTATCATCTGAATCCCATTCTTCATCTTCAGGGTCTCTGTGAGTACTGTCTGGAGCATAATTCTACAGCGCGTCAATGTCATTCCATGTGAGAGGTCTACGTGCTTTAGACGACGACAGTATTGCTAAACAGTCGATCCCCGTGATCACCGATTGTACTTCCCTTCAATGCTCTCAATTTCATCAAATCTCTACTCCGAATTGTAGGCCAAGGATCTGTAAACGTATTCCTTGCTGGATACAGAGCATTATTGTAAGGCCCTACAATCCCTTTACTCAAAGGGTGTGCCGTGCTTGACCCAGTGTTGGTACCTGGTCTTGACCTATACGCACTGACACCCTGGCCATTGGGCTAGACTGCGCCACGCCCTTCCTACTGAAAATCACATTCTCCGCCCGACGCCAAAATACGGCTCGCGCGCTCACTCACTCATCAATACAGGGGATCACAGTCAAACCTAAAGTAGTAGGTTGACTGGTGCGCGTCCTGTCATTTTGCTCAGCTGCTTAGGCGGAGGGAGAGAGGCTGGGATCGGAGACGGTTCGACCGAGCCGCGAGCTGACTTCGAGGGCGGCGCTCCCTAGTCTGAAAACGTGTATGGATGCGCATGCGGCATCTTCGTCAACGTGTGCTCCGCATCCCAAAGCACCGAAGGACTGTCGGCAGACATGTCGGTAAGTTGTACTGTTGTGGTAACGGTTGGATCTTACTCACTTGTCGTGTTCAGTTGTGAAGAGAGACACTCTCCTGGAGATTGAGAGAGAGTGTCAGTTGAGATGGGAGAGAGACGGAGTGGTCCAGATGGCATGCTCCTCAGTGGGTATGTGGGTCACCTATACCAGAACAATGTACGACTCAACCTGCATGTAAGGACTGTACATTTGTCTCTTGCATGCATGTGCACATAGGAAGGGCAAACAGGAGAGGAGTTCAGGTTTGAATTGACTTGTGATCTAACATAATGTTTATGCACTTTCTCCTGTCCCTTGTGTGTGCAACCAACGTCCACCAGTCATGAGAACAAGTACCTGGTTACCTTCCCATATCCCTACATGAATGGCAGACTCCATTTAGGCACACCTTTACCATCTCCAAGGTATGTAAACAGTCACAGTTTCAAATTGTGATAAGCAGATTTTGTTTCTCTTTTCTTCATGTCCTGAAATTGTTGACCACATTAGGCTGAGGTAGAGGTTGACTAATGCTCTCAACCATAGAATTAGGCACTATTGCCCACCTCCAGTTGCTGTTGGCTATGAGAGGCTAAAGGGGAAGAGATGTCTCTTTCCTTTTGGTTTCCACTGCACTGGGATGCCCATCAAGGTCACACACACACTCCTCCCCTCTCTCTCACCAGCTAATCTCTGCTCCAACAGTTGTTTGTTCCCTTCTTCTCCAGGCGTGTGCAGACAAGTTGAAGAATGAGTTGGAGCAGTTGGGTTTTCCCCAGTCTTCCCTGGAGATGTGGAGGAGAGGGAGGAGGAGGAGGAGAGTCCTGACCCTGCTGACCCCACCAAGAGAGCCAAGAAGGTCCTTTGCCTCTGCTGTTGTATTCAAAAAGTCATTCTCTCAATAACTTAGTCAATTTGCTTCATGTTGTATGTACATAAGCCGCTGTCAATGCTACTCTATTTGCTGGATATCTAAGCCAATATTGTACATTGTACTGTGCCACAGCACAGTTGTTGAGCTTTGCCTTTTCTGTGTTGTAGATTTATTGACCCCTACTTGGCTGAGTTGCCCTGGTAGCTCAGTTGCTAGCCTAGAAGCTAGCTAGACTGATAGTATCATGGGTTCGATCCCTACAGGGCAGATTGTTTTTCCTTGAAAAAGAGTGTGTTCTGGATGTAGTTGATTTGTTTGACATGATTATACTCCCTATGTTCAGCTAACATCGCTCAGTGTTTTTGTCCACGTCAGACTAGAGTAAAAGTGGCGGCCAAGACGGGGAACATGACCCTACCAGTGGGACATCATGAGGAGTCTGGGATCAATGACCATGACATACGGAAGTAGGTGGAAACTTTATCGCTGACAAAGGAGTGGGAGATGTGTGTGCGTGTGTGTGCGTGTGTGCGTGCGTGTGTGTGTGGACTTTGTGTATACATGTGTCTCAAATGATCAGGTTGTCACAGATCACTCAACATTGGCTGGAGTACTTCCCTCCATCTTGCTAAGAAGACTCAAGTCACTTGAGTTAGCGTGTCAGTCCTCAACCTGATAAATAATACACACATTTTGGAGATCTCTAGATGTCACACTCTGATTATGGTGAGGTGGTGGTGTGTGTGTAGGTTGATGGAGGAGTCGTTCTCACAACTGAGCCAACCCCTACTACGACTCCTTTGTGAGATGGCAGTTCACAAACTCAAGGAGAGGAAAAAGATCAAGTTGGCAAAAAGGTGGGAACACTCTGCCCAGGCACAACCATATTCTTCCACTGGAGGGCCACCCAGTATGACCACGACAGAGCCACTGGTGAAGGGGTGGGCCACAGGATACACTCTCATCAAGATGCTGGCTACATCCAGACATCACACTACAGTAGCCTTCCCGTCCAAGACAGCGAGAGGTGTTCCATGATCCACCACCAGAGCTGCCTCAACATGACCTACAGACTTCACCTCCGAGAGTATGGCAAAACTCAAGTCCTGCCTGCGCTCTGAAGGGAGAGGTATATAGAGCTCGTATACAGGTAGGATCGTGCGTATGGATAGAGCAAGGGGTTTGGAACCCGCTCTCATCACACCCTGAAATGAGGATGCAGCCTTCAATAAGGATACTATTTGTTTCCACAAGAAGAGTGCATGGGATGAAATACGACACCTCACTAATATGGACACTGTTCAGTCATATTTGTGTTTGGATTAGAGGGGTTTCACTGTATTCTTACTAGTACACTATACCAAACATTCCAGTGATATGTATATACTTAGTTTAAACTTTCTGGGTATTCTTAGTACACTATCTTAAAACATGACATATGTATATACTTCGTTTAAACTTTCTTTGTGGCTTTTCTACAGGAGCTTATGGGTGTGGCTTTGAAAGCACCTCTGACATCATATGATGTCATCTATACTCTTCCAATGCTCACCATCAAGGAGGACAAAGGTCATAATCTCAATATTTACGAAGATTACTCCTCTTCTCTCTACAGGCACTGGAGTGGTGACCTCTGTACCCTCTGATGCTCCTGATGACTACGCTGCTCTTAGAGATGTCCAAAAGAAGAAGGTAGTATATACATGTATGTGTATAATATCCACCACCATTGATGTGGGTGCAATGTCATACACCAACTCTTTGCAAACGCCAGTCATGTTTCTTACCATCGTAATGTGCAGGCTCTTCGTGACAAGTTTGGCATAATCGATGAAATGGTTCTGCCATACAAACCAGTAAGCCATGAGCAGTATTTCATATGTACAACACATACATAAATGGGTGAGGGTGAAACCCTGTGATTACCGCTGCAATCTCTGACTGCAGGTCCCCATTATTGATATTCCAGGAATTGGAAATCTCTCTGCTGTCACTGCCTGTGACCAGTTCAAGGTATGTACACACTACCAATGTATTACTGTCTTCGAGCATACTGTGTGGATAGAAAACTTCAATTTAAAGAGTAAAAGCAGCATATCATCAATAAAGCTTTGCGAACATGTATGTAGTTAACAAACATGAAAAACCTAAGATTAAACCAAAAAAATGTCACAAAATCTAGTTGGGGCCAGCATGCAAAGCCTAAGATAAAATAATTTGGCCCAATTTTTAGGTGTCATCACAGAATGACAAATCTCAACTTGAGAAGGCAAAGGAGATGACCTACCTCAAGGGATTCTATGAGGGGGTAAGTGAGAAAGGAAGGGAGTAATTAGCTCTTGGTGTGCATTTGCAGCGAGGGTTATAGTACTTGGTTTGTCATTCCGTCTGTGTGTCTGTTACCTCATTTTCTGCCGCTACGCTCAACAAAACAGTCAGAAAGCGATACCAACGTGTTCAGTGCCACACTGACTTTATTTTTAAAATGGCGATTTTGGTAAAAATGCCGTGTTCGAAAGTTATGGCGAGAAGACAATGTGAACAATCCTATAATTATGCTAATTAGCACAGGCTTACCTCAACTGGGTCCGCTCACTCTGGCGTATCTTGAAGACACAAGAAGTCACAACGAAGGGCATGTATCGACTCCCACATGCTATCTAAGATTGTAACTAGCCTGTGTCAGTCTTTCTGAGAGCCACTAGCGGGAGACCACGAGTGCAATGTATATTGATAGCCCAGCCAAAAAGGTTGTTCCACATGTATCCACAAAGACTTGTGCTCCAGAAGAGAGAAATGCATTATGATGATGTATATCTAAGTCAGCACTCACTACTCTAATGTACAGGTTCTGCTGGTGGGGCCTCACTCGGGGAAGAAGGTGCAGGAGGCCAAGAAGCTGATCCAGGGAGACATGGTGGCCAGCGGAGAGGCTGTCCTCTACCAGGAACCTGAGAGGAGTGTCACCACTCGCTCAGGAGACCAGTGTGTCGTGGCCCTCACCAACCAGTGGTGGGTTGGTCCCTCTTCGTCACGTGCACTTAGCACACAGCGCTTGCACACTTATACATCACTCATGTACATACATAGTTTAACAGTATATTGTAGTAGCAAGGGGGAAGGCACTGCTTGGTTGCCACTTGGAGGAGGTTGTCACACTGTCTTTTTATCAGAGGTTTAACCACATTATGACCTTGAGCCCCTCCCCCCACTGTCATTTGGGGGTTAGTTACAGAAGTGTTTCACTGCTTACATGGTAAGCTAAGAGACGAGGTTATATCATTGTTTTCAGGTATCTGGACTATGGAGAGCCTGGCTGGAAGGAGACTGTGAGAAATGTCTTGAAAGGAGTCAGAACGTAAGTCACTTATGGTGACCTGGTATCCATCCGTGGAGCAAGTTTGAGTGTACAACTGTCTCTCTAGATATGCTGAAGAAGTAAACAACAACTTTCTGACTACTCTAGACTGGCTCCATGAACATGCCTGTTCCAGAGTCTTTGGCCTTGGTCAGTGACTCTCTTTTGTACTTCCTCCCTCTCCCTTTCCCTCTCTTGCTTCCTACCCTTCCTTTCTAGCTCCCTCTCCTTCTCTCCCTCCTTCCCTCACTCCATCTATCCCTCTCTCTTTCCTTCCCTCCTTCCCTTGTTATACTTTATACATTGTTGCTCACTCACCCATTAGTTCACTGTAACACACACACACACCTGTATACAGGAACCCTCATTCCGTGGGACCCAAAGTTCATGATAGAGTCTCTCTCCGACTCCACCATCTACATGTCCTACTACACTGTGGCCTACCTGCTACAGGGAGGTGTGGTCAATGGCTCCACCCCTGGGCCTCTGGGAATACGGTAGCACCTGTGTACTATTTTAAATGTATAGTAGGAAGTGTGTGAGGGAGATATCTTTCAAAGCAAATCACAACCATTTGACGTAACAGTATTTGTAAGCAGGAGACACTTTGTGTGTCTACATTGTTCTAAGATACCAAAAGCTTGAATGTTCTCTGTATCCAGCGAGCTAGAATCTCTCCCTCTTTGCAGCCCAGAGCAGATGACAGTGGCCACACAAAGTGAGTCCCAAGACAAATGTTTTTACTTCAGTATGGCACACCAAGTAGGTTGCATTTACAGTGTCTTTACTAACAAGTTGTAGTACAGCCTGCATGCAACATTGTACATATACATATAATTATGCATGTGTCACACACGTGATGTACACATGTGTCAATGTACTTGTGTGTCTATATTAGCTGGACATGGAGCTCGAGGCGTACAACCTGCGAAGGTTCCAGCAGATCATGGGAGACTATGAGAACATCAAATTCCCCACTCCCCTCTTCCCCTACGTCACCAAGAGAGTCCTGGTGGAGACCTTTGAGGTACAGTGGAAATTTTGACCTATTCTCTTGCCTCATTTCTATACTCCCCATAGCCTGGTAGTCACATCTCTAGATACATGGACAACCCGGGAGGACAGCTGCAGAAGAACCTGGCCAGGATTGGGACCGATGCCCTCCTTGACATGGTACAGAACCACCAGCAGATATATACCATGTGTGTCGTGTGAGCTTGGAACTCCTTTACTTACTATGAAACTCCCCATCTTCCAGTGAGTGAATGAGTGAGTGCCATATAGTATATATAGCCAGCAGATTGTAAAGTTTGTGCAGTATGTTTACTGAGCTGTGGCACTTAGCCCCCATTTACGAAAACATCCCCCTTGTCCTAGTGTTTACATGGGTGGGTGACTGACACATTCATGGCACTCTAGCCCCCATTTACTTGCCACCCACTACAAACACTCCCCTGTGTATTAGTGTTTAGATGAGTGAGTGAGTGACACATTCGTTTTGTAGTCCTACAGCTACACAGAATAGGACCCAACACGAAAGAAAACATTGCGTATACAACTATTATGTGTGGGACGCAAAATGTATAAATGGTTCCTCTCTCTATCTCTCTCTGTTTCTTGGTTGTTGTTGTTGACAGTTGTTCATCCACAACTTTGTCCATGGAGACCTCCATCCTGGCAATATCCTGGTCCAGGACACACACCAGCCTCGCCTGGTCCTCCTGGACTGTGGTATCGCCACCAGTCTCACGCCCTTTGACCTCCTCCAGATGAGGGCTCTCTTCACCGCCATCGTCAAGGGAGATGTGAGTTGAGCAGCAGTTTATGTGTATGTGACAGTACATTGGCTAAGTTTTACGGAACATAATTGCATTCAGTTGGTGTGTTAGTCTTGAAAAGGATTGTGACAGTACGTTGGCTAAGTTTAGCAGAAATATAATCTCATTCTTGCACTGGGTCCTTAGCCCTTATGTATATACTGCCATATTCCCTTTTATGTTCACTCTCATCGGCAAACACTTAGGACACCCCAAAACCAGGACGCCTTTCTTGTAAGGACACCTTTTCTTCCCCCACAAGAACAGTTCCTTGCATGCAATGTAACCTCCTCATCATAATGTTGATGTGACAGGGAGTACAAGTGGCAGACCTGATGCTGGGCTCCCAGCCCTGCCCCACAGTGGAGGAGTACCGCAGGAACATGGCTGAACTGGTCTCACGAGGACTCCAGGGACTCACTCGCATTCAGAATGTACATAAGATACACTCACTGAAAATAATACAGTGAAACCTCCGAATAAAGGACACCTCTCTATAAGGGACACTTGGTTCTGACCCATACTAATACATTAGTGTATTATACTACCTCCGAATGAAGGATGTCTCTGAATAAAGGACACTTTCAATGTCTCCCAAGGTGTCCCTTACTCAGAGATTTCTCATTGATGACTGTACTGTAGCTACCTACATTTGCTGGTGTCTCACATCTCTGCCTTTTTGACAGGTGAAGGTGTCTAACCTATTCTCCGAGCTATTTGATGTGCTCATGAAACACAAGGTATGTTACTTCCTATTAATGCCCCCCACCAGGGTAGGACATACAGTGGTACCTCTGAGTATGGGACACTATGGGACCGACAATTTTGTCCCTTGTGGAGAGGACGCCCCTATCATCAAATAATACACTAAGTATCAGCATGGGGTTGAAACAAGTGTCCTTTGTAGAGTATCTCAGAGGGTCCCTTATCAGGTTTCTCACTGTATCCATGGCCAGGTTCGAATAGAGCCCAACTACACGTCAGTGGTGATGGCCATCATGGTGATAGATGGACTGGGGAGGTCCCTGGACCCCAGTCTCAATCTCCTGGAGGCTGTCACTCCCTGTCTGCTCCACAGAGCCAGGACACAACTCACTGACTACATTGTAGGCTCTTGACACCTAGAGCAACTTCTGCTGTTTGCTGTCTTTTGTATGTTTTCTATGGTCTTAT